TACCGTCATATATATAATTTTGAGCCAAATCGAGCCAATCTCAAATGAACAAATCTTTGTTCATGTTATACTCGTTTGCTTAACGAACAATTCAAACACGAGCTACTTAGCGAACCGAACAGGAGCTGTTCGCGAACAACGATCTATTTTGATCGCTCTATGTTGCCGCTCCATGCTGGGCATTACCCCCGGGTAACTTGCTACCAGCCATCGTTAACTGCTTTTGTCTCTCACCGCAGCTAAAGGGTTGCCTTCTAATGCTAGCTGCTGGTCATTGCCTGTATGTCCTTTTGCCGTCATCGTTGACGCCCACTGTAATTGTTGACCGCTGTAAAGCGCAGCATCGGATATCTACTAATTTTACTTTTATTTAATTTTTTTTTCAAATAAAACACAAAATTGATCTCTGTTTGTTTTACACCGAACTAAATAACTATAAAATATTTCAGATACATTACATTTAATCACATTGCATATATGTTATTCCACTTTCTTTTGCCAACAAACCAATAATTCCCTCGGTAACTTTGGTACAATAAACTAATGCTCGATACATTATCTTCTCTAATTTGGCAGATTTTAGTTCCTTATAATTAAATTTATGACGGTAAAGTTTTAATTATGTTCGAGCATGCTTTTCTAAATAATTACCTTTAGTTTAAATAGATATAAGATCAATTATTTATAAGCTAAACAGAAAAAAGACCTTGTTTGATTATGGGGAGGAACTTAATTATATTTGTATATACATGTGTGCATGCAAATTTATATGTGTGCATATGTTTGTATAGGTTTCATGTATTCATATTCATACATTAATATTTGCATGAATATATGTACATATACAAGATGACTTATTATACGATTGATATATGACTTTCAAGTAATAGACTATGTTCATGAGCAACTCGTTTTCGGTTCAGTAAGTTAACAGGCAGAACAAACAAAATAAATTTTAGCTCTAGTACATGAAGAGCGGAGCTGAACAATGGCTAAGTTCACCCGAGTTCTTATTTACTCACTAATTTTCGATTCATAGATGCAACCTTAGAAGTTAATTTTATCACAAGTAAACGTTGGACTTAGATTTTGCATAAATCTGAAACTGTTTAAGTGATCTATTACTATCCAGGAACCCTTTATTCATTTTGCATTAATCCTTTTGTTTTTTTTTTTCACATTTTTTTAGTCCGGGCAAGGATGGTGAGAGTCAGCGTCCTGAATGATGCTCTCAAGAGCATGTACAATGCTGAGAAGCGTGGGAAAAGACAAGTCAAAATCAGACCATCTTCAAAAGTTATCATCAAGTTCCTCCTCGTAATGCAGAAGCATGGTTAGCAACAAACATGCCTTGCTCCCTAAATTCTTTATTCTTCGCTAGCTGCAAATCTGCAAATCATATTCATTTAATTCTCGATACAGGCTATATCGGCGAGTTCGAATATGTTGATGATCATAGATCAGGCAAGATTGTGGTGGAATTGAATGGGCGTTTGAACAAGTGTGGTGTCATTAGCCCAAGGTTTGATGTTGGTGTTAAGGATATTGAGCCATGGACTGCAAGATTGCTCCCTTCGCGTCAGGTATTTTCTTCCATTTTCAGTTTTTATTTAATTTTTGGAAAATTTACATACATAACACAAACAATTTTTATTTATAACAAATTCATAAGCCTATGCATGAAGTAGTGTATTTCAGTTCTGAAAAAAGATAGTTATGGAGGTTTATTTGATGTGATGTAAAAGATTTGAGTGGTATACATGTAAATATGAATGTTTAGGTGTTAGATATGTGAATGCACACAAATTGTGTGGCTATGCATGTAAATGCTCTTTAATTTATAATATGATTTTATGAATTTGTGTATTTAATATTTGGTCATTATTGTACAGTTTGGGTATATTGTGCTGACAACTTCAGCAGGCATCATGGATCATGAGGAAGCTAGGAGGAAGAATGTAGGCGGCAAGGTTCTTGGATTCTTTTACTAGTTAAAAAAAAGTTTTTGAATGAATTTTGAAGATTGTCTTTAAGTGCATTTGCTTGATGTTTGCCTGGATTTCTTTTGAAGTTTGAATGGTGTCAGGCTGCTTGTTATCTTTGGATCTTGAGGCATATATTTCCCATTTGTGTTTGCGTAAAATTTTATTTTATATTTGGTTGATTTGTAATATTAAAGTTTTTTTTTAATGCTTGCTTCGTTGGGCAGTCAGGCATAGGGTTGTAAATGAGCTTAGGCTCAGCTCGCGTTCAGCTTATTAAAAAATATCACTGTTCGTGTTCAGCTGTTTGCTTCGCGAGCTGAATGCAAGCTGTTTACCAACCAAGAATCGTTTTGACAACTCTAGTCACGCAGCTATAGGATGTAAAGGGTTGAGGTAAGGTTTAAATCTTATTATTTATATTAAAACATCATTCATATATATAATTATGTATTTTTATTCTATTTTTTAATTAATAATTTTAATTGATTATAAATCTTTGCAGCCTCATAGTCAATTAACTTTTTTAAAAATATGGCTCATCAATTATATATATATATATATATAAGCCAAAATGAGTTGAATATAAACTAACAAATATTTGTTTTGTGTTTGACTTGTTTATGACTTAGCAAATGAATCAAATATGAGTTTTTTAACGAGCTGAACACGAACTGTTCGGGAACAAGTTGTTTTAGCAGCACTAGCATCGATGAAATTTTGATTTTATATTTTGTTTACTTTATATATTTTGTTGATTTTTTCTTTCTTATATATTTTATAGTCCTAACACCAAACTAATTTACATGAAAAAAATAGGATTGAGCTTTTCTTTAATGGAGTTGATTAAAGCCGGAAGATGATTTGTTGTATTTTTCTCAGAACAATTTTGCCAAGTTCTATCCTATTTCTATGTGAATTCTTGAAAAAGGATATAAATTGCCAAAATAGTTCACAACTATTTATATGGAATTGTTTTAATCTTATAATTTATAGAAGTGTTAAAAGAATATTCAGCCTCTTTAAATCAGGGTTGAAATATCCTCGTTCGAAGACTCCTGGAGCTCAAATTTAAAGTTGTTTGTGATTATTTTGACATTTACATAAACTTTGGGACTACAATGTCTCTTTGTAAATAGTTGACCATTTTGGATAAAGTCAGGTTAGTCTTTAACTCAATTGAGCGAAGTTGCGCAAACCATGATAAGAATATGAAGAACCAGTAAGTTTGTTTCTCCATTGGACCCATGGTTTCCCTAGGTTGCCTTTAAGACCCTTGGACTCCTAACTAGATGTCCTATAAAGACTTATATTGGTTATAAAAATCAAAATCCAAAGTAAATAAAATTAATTTGACTTGTTGAAGGAAACCTAAACATGACCCATTAAAGAGAAGTTGGGTCATTCTCACCTAAAAACTACCTGATCCAAGTCAGCTGAAATCAATTTAAATTGAAACTATACCTAATTTTAGCCTAATCAAGTCGAACCAATTTGGAAACCAATAAAACAAATCGAGCCAGATTGCCGGTCTAACCCTAGCAAAACCCATTAAAAGGATATTACGGCAAACTCACCCAAGCCTAAACCCAAAAACACACTTAACCATATGATGCCTAAGGTTCGATCTAACTTAATTGAATCATAATTATAACCATTTGAGCTAATATGTCCATTTAGATCATTAATGACCAATTAAGGATATTTTTTTAAATTAACCAAATTAAAACATTCAAAATCATGTAATTGTTATTAAGACATTATTGCAAAGGCCAAAATTGATAAATTGAGTCCGAACCCAAGTCTTACGGACTTTAATTGGGAAAATTGAGTCACTTGATCTAATATGACTCAATTGAATCTTGTTGAGAAAAATTCAACTAATATCAAATCAACTACATCTAAAGTGGCCTAAATGACTCCTAAGATCTTGGGAGCCCTCCCCAAAAAGACTCAACTCTGGGAGATTCTAGTAAAAACCTAAAGATTCCACTAGCTTGGTTAGTCAATCTTTTACGTCGAGGCAAAGCTGAATAAAGTAGGGTTATTAAAAAAGCTCTACATTCATGAACAATTTGTGTTTGACTTGCAATGCTCATGTTCGGTTTATTTGACTGACAAACGAGTCAACCATGAATAATTTTTTGAGCTCAGTTTATAAATGAGCCAAACACAAGCATACATTTGGTCGATCGTTTTGGCTATTTAATATTTGAATTAGAAAATTATATGTGTGTGTGTGCAATTATATATAATTATTGTCATATAGTGAAAATAATTATAAATTTATTAAATTAAGAAAATTTATATTAAATAATTAAAATCATATTATTTTAAGTAATTATGATCAATTGATCATAAATGGATGGCTTCAAAGCGAGAAAAATTTTAAAGATCACAAATTAAATTAAATAATTTAATTTATTGCTACATAAAAAAATATAATACAATAAAATAATTAAGTGTAAAAATAAAAGTTAATGAGACATTTCTACAAACAATTGATATATTTTTTACGATGAGCTAATTTTGAGAGTTATGAGATTGGTAGCACTGAGGGCGCAGACGTAAGCTAGCAATGCAAGCGAGCGGTGCACAATGGTCTGAAAACAAGGAGAAAAGATTACATCCAAAGTCTAGACATGCGGACATTAATAATACAACACTGTTTGTAAAGTGGTGGGATGTAGCTTCACGAGTTGATGAAATGTGAAAAAACTATTTTTGCGTGCGACCCGGACTGAAGAACGCTTGTTGCATAAAAAAAAACCACCATATTGACAACAATAATACTTGTGGTATTTGGGTGGCATTCTTCTGATATTATACGGTAAATTTGGTAATACTTTGGAGGTATTATGGTAGTATTCTTATGGTATTATGGTGATATTATATTAGTATTCTAGTGGTATTCTTATGATAATCTTGTGAAATTATTAGTATTCTAGTGGTATTCTTATGATATTCTTGTGAAATTCTGATGCTATTATGATGATATACTTATGATATTCTTAGGATATTCTGGTGGTAGCTATACTTGTGATGTTCTACTGGTATACTAGAAAATATTATCAAATTACCACCATAATACCAATTGAATACCACTATAATACCACAAAAATCTTATAAGAATACTACTAAAATACCATCATAATATCACAAGAATATCACAAAAATATCATCAGAATACCGCAAGAATACCATCAAAATATCATCAGGATACCGTCACAATACCATCAGATTGTTACCAGAATGTCACTAGAATACCACAAAAATACCACAAGAATATCACTAGAATACCACCAAAATACCACCGAAATACCGCCATGATACCACAAAAATACAACAAGAATACTAATTAAAAAAAATAAATTTAATATATATAGTGCAATGGATATGTAAAGGCACATATTAATAAAAAATAAAATATCTAATCCAAACACTGATTTTTAACTAATGCAAAATTCAGTTGGCTAAAAATAAATCAATTCAAGCAATAAATTAATTTAAAGCCAATCTTAAATTTAACACATGTCCTTCGACCTAATGTTGATGGTGCATATCAAGGATTTTACTGTTAGAAGTTCAGAAATAATAATAGTAATAATCCTAAATATTATTATTATATAAAAAATTGAAGGGAGCGTTAATAGCATTTTGATTTAAATAGTATTGAATAAAGCTTGGACGGTTGGAAGACAAATCATTCATAAAAGATATAATTTTTCTTTATATTTCTAAAGTTTGTTTATAATAAATACAAACTTGCATCCCTTGTTTTATTTCTAGCTCATATATATATATATATATATATATATATATATTGATATTAATATTGAAAAGAAAATCGGTATTTTCCCATGCGCTAGGCCCCATGATGAAAGTTCGCGCCGTGTGTCTAAAGATTCGAGAACCCAACGCCACTGCAGAATGAAACCGTGTCTGAGCTGACTTACAGTGACCTTGTGAACCAATAGGCCATGGCTTTGTTATCCGCAAATGATAATGATAATGAATTTTTAACAATATGGATTAGTTATTGGTCACTTTTGAGAGGGAAAACATTATTATAAGAAATACTAATTATAAATGAGTTTCTCAGTTGCACAACTAATCTTCATCAATTAATGACATTATATAATACAACTGCTTTCCTTTGATAGGTTGGTTGCACAAATTCAAGACCTGACTAATGAGATACAAATTACAATATTATCGAAACATGATACAAACCTTAATTATGACAACACAGTTACTATGTAAAATCATACTGGAAATATATAAAGTTCAAGAACCATGTAGTGTAGGTAGAAATATTTAGGCATTCAACTGAAATCATGAATAATGTTGATTATTCTTTGATTGATTCAAGGAATGGGTAGTCTGTGTAGCCAACAACTGGATCAGAAGTATAGAAGGTGGTCCTGTCATATTTATTCAACGGAGCATTCAATTCAAATCTTTTAGGCAAATCGGGATTAGCAAGAAATAAGCGGCCAAATGCTATTAGATCAGCATATCCATCTCGAATTGCCTTATTTCCTTCCTCTCTATCATAACCTCCAGCTGTGATTAAAGTCCCTTTATAGGTTTTTCTTATTTCATGAAGGCGTTGAGGAATCTTCAGCTTACCTTCCTCAAAGGTCATTCGAGGCTCGGTTATGTGGATATATAATAGCCCATACTTATTCAATGACTGAGCCATGTAGACCCCAAGTGCATCCGGGTTAGAATCCCAACAATCTGCCTCAGTAGCAAAGGGAGACAGTCGAATGGCCACTCTTTCAGCACCAATCTCTTCAACGACTCCTTCAACAACCTCCAAGGCGAAGCGGCATCGATTTTCTAGACTACCCCCGTACTCATCCGTTCTATCATTGACACTATCTTTCATGAATTGCTCAAGTAGATAGCCATGCGCTCCATGTATCTCTACTCCATCAAAGCCTACAAGTTGTAGCATTCAAGTCAGGCTTCAAAGAAACTAATTTCAGCACAATAAGGTCATGCTTGTACTAAATAAGAAAAAAAAAAAACAGGTTTTACATAAATCATCAACAATATTAACTTTAGCACAACTATTTGGACTTAGTTTAGGTTTTTTTTTTTTTTTTTTTTTTAATTTTAAGTTTTGAACGCTTAATTTTGTAAGTAGCTATTTTATTAAAAAAACATGGTGTTATAGAGCTTACAAATGTGAGCTCGTGAAAAGTTTACTTAATCTCAAGCCATAATCTATCAATTTAATATATCAGATTATAGTGCTCTCAAGTTTTATGAATGGTAGGTAGTCCATGCGCAGTGCTTGAGTTCATGAGCTCAAGTTATGGAAACAAGCTCTCAACAAATATAGGGATAAGATTGTGTATATCAAACCATTAAAGCTCATCACATTGGGAAAATCTTCATACACTAGATATGTTGTTCTTTAAAATCATTCTTCTTCTAAATAACAGGCTTGTGAATCTAATCAATTGCTAGTAATTAATGCCTATACGTGCAATGCATGCACATCCATGAAATTTGATCAAGATTTAAACATGTTGAATGATGTTCATTTTTCCATTTTTCAACAATTAAATGCATTCTTTCAACACAGAACTGTTGGCCAAAACAACTTATTACATTAATACTATTGCGATACTTTTGACGTGAAATGAAAAGAGTCAAGTCATATAAGAGAAATTATAGTAATTGTACCGGCTTCAATGGCATTTCTTGCAGCTAGTCTGAAATCTTTGATGATTTGTGGTATCTCATCAATTCCAAGCCTACGTGGAGTGGAGTATATTGAGACTGTACCATCATGTTGAGGTTGCGGACTGACTTTTTTCTCACTACTTGAAATAGGAGCCTGTCCATTAGGCTGGTAATCTAAATATCAAAAAAAAGAATAAAAAAAAATAATAAAACATATAAGAACAAATAATGGCTAACCAATCACATGTGAAACTACAAGCCACGTTTAAAAAGACAATTGTTTGTAATTTTTAAGTGATGGACTATAATTTCTTTAAATGATTAGTTTTTATTTTTCTAGAGAAATTCAACTATATCATGGCTTCTACTAGAAATAGTTTTCTTGATTTATTGGATGCAATATAGTTTTCTAGGTTGCCTTCATAATCATTCATTCTCAATTAACTCCTACAAAGTGTTGAAAAAGATGTTAAATTTAATGTGTCCATTTTTTTTCTTGGCATAATTTTTATCTATAGTCCATATTCTTTAGCTACATATTAATCTGACATCTAGTAGGTCCATCTTCAAACTAATTTTGTGCATGTTCAAGTTAACTAAATTTATTTTCCCCCCTAATTTTCAAAAGATATTATTTGCATAAGACATATTTTTCTCCAACATTATCAAGTTTAGTGAAAATTAAAATAGTTAATGATGTATATACCATAGTTAGAAACCCTTCCCACATGCCAAATTTGGCAAATGAAGATCCCACCCTTCTCATGGACAGCATTGACAATAGGTTTCCAGGCCTCCACTTGCTCTTTGGTCCATATGCCAGGAGTTCTTGGGTACCTAAACAAGCACAAAAGCCAAAAAGAAAACCATTTAGAAGAAAAGAAAAATACACACAGGAAAGATTATGCTTAATTTTGTCTGAATTATCACATGCAGATGTGCATTTAAGATCAGATTTTGATATCAAAAAAATTATGCCTGAATTATTCAAAATTTATAGGATTAAGGTTCTGTTTATACAGAATGTGCGACTATTTAACATTCAGCTAGCTTACCCTTGAGCTGTATCAGAAATTCCAGTGGCTTCTGCTATTAAAAGACCTCCTTTTGTAGTTCTCTGAGAGTAGAACAAGATTGCATGGGGCTGCGGAACGTTGCCATAGGACCTGCACCTCGTCAGAGGTGGCAAAACCACCCTGTGAAATACATACACATCATCAATGATGATGTTCAGAGAATATGAATAAAAATTCTATTTTGTTTTTAATCATGGAATCAAAATTTAGTATTTTTCATGATTACAAAACCTGTGTGATAAATGGAATTTCCCAAGCTTGTATGGAGTGAGAAGGGGGATCTTTTCTTCTGCAACTGAGCCCATCGTATCACTCTACTTCTATAAGATGCTTTTCTCTGCAAGAGATGGGAATTATAGGAATTTGACTGCTTTTCTCAATGAGAAGTTGGAACAAGAGAAGAATGCTATTCTGAGCACTAGTTTTGGGTATTTATAGGCTCTGAAGCTGAATTATACAGCCGAAGAGCTGCTGATGAAGGCCATTTTGCTGAAAAGGTCTTGCAGAGTTCGAGAAATTTCTTTCAAGTTCCTTTGCCTTCTAAAAAAGTTATTATAAATACACCATGGGAAGAAAATGAGTCGTATCCCATTTGCTCTCCAACTTTGTATATTATTATTTATAAAATCTGCTTAAAAAAAAATTATATTCATGATTGGCTTGCTGCACATCAGCTGTATTTTTCTATTTGAACTTGACCCTTTTTTTGTTTTTTTCTATGCGATTTTCCACTTCTGAAATTGAATTTTGTCTGTTGCAAGGTATGGTGAAGTTCTGTGCTCTTCGAAAGAATAAACTAAAGCATTCGAAGTTGGACAGAAATGTTTTTAAATTAGAAGACTTTTTGGGAGAGATTGCAAAATGCAAAGCCTTGATAGCAAAGTCAAGTTGCGGTAATAAATTAATAATTGATATTGCTATGTGTAGTGGATTCCAGAATGATCTGAAGTTTGATTCAGGGCGTCAAACTTAAATTTTAAGTCAAAGAGAGGTTGGTCTTGCTTAGGTTTTATCATATCATGCCCTACGGCTTCGTTTGAAGGAGCTTGAATGCTCTTTTCAAATTCATGCGATGGAACAGGCATTATCATCTGTTCTAAACCGACCAAAATTTAACGTTGCGGCGAAATATTTTTGAGAGGTGTCTGGGAATGCTGGCTTACCAAACAAAAATAAATCTGCGCGTCAGAGCAAGCCGGACGGAAGTTGAATGATTTCTCAAATGAAGCCTAAATTTGATTGATTGAGCTGAATTGACTCGTTCAACCCTGTTGGTACAGTTAAATTAGGTTAGCACAATATGATTTACGAAATGCTTCTAAAAATTAGTTATACACATGGCTCATTAGTTGGCAAAAATATTACCTGTGGATGAGATATGTATGGATATGTGGGATTTGGTGGTATGTGGAGCAATACTACCACAATACCCTCAAATACCACTAATCCACCCATGTGGATTCCACACATAATATTCTCCCATTAGTTGACAACACCAAACAAGAAATGTATGACTAGGAACTAGCCTACTATGCCTAATTAGCCTTTGCCTAGCCTAGATCTAACCCATCACCTGATGGCAAAAAAATAATTGGGAGTCGGATAAACTTAGTGTTAACACATAATTAATAGATCATAAGAGAGAGTTAGCTAGATGACCAATGCTGGGGTACATGCAAATATTGATGCCAAATAGTCCATCGTGAGAGTCGAGTAGGCAAACAACCAAACCACTTTGTAACTTAGTCTGGGGCGGAGCTAGGTTATGCTCAGGGTGGACAATTGCCCCCCTTAAAATTTGAGATTTCTCTATATAACTAATAAATTTAATTTTTTTTTCTTATGTAATATAGTCAATTTAATTATTTTGCCCTCCCCTAGATATATTTTTACCCATCACTTAAAAAAAATTAGACATTTGGCGACTGCATTCCTTAAAAAATAATGCCAGTTCCATCTCTGAACTTGGCCTCAAGTGATTGACCTAATGCTCAAACATAACTAGCTTGATATTCTTACACTCATAAGTTTATTTGTCATGCATTCTCATAGTCAATTCTATGAAATACTATTTCAACAACCAACATGCCAAAATTAGGTAACATGGGAATGGTAGTAGTTGACATAATGTTGAATAACAAAGATAATAATTTTTTGACAAAATACTCACTAAAAATAGCTTAAATTCATAAAAAAATAAGATTATTAGAGGGATTTATGTTAACCAAAAAACCATCAGTATAAACAGTTTTTTGGCATACAAAAAATCACTAAAAATATTTTTCCTTTAGAACAACGCTCGAAAAATTTCAACCAAATATCTACTGGAAGAAACATTGATACCATAAGTAAAGACAAAATCTAGAGAAATTTCTAAAAGTTATAATCAATGATGAATCAAATAAATTTTTATCATCATTTTCTTACTGAATATTCCACTGAAAAGTTCATCGAAAATTATGCCACAGTAAAAAAAAAAAACAAAATATCATTGAAAGCTTAATCATTCATGTCATAATAGAAATATTTTATATTCATATTATAACACAACAACAACAATTAATACCACAACAACAACAACAACAAAAATAACAAGTCTTTATCTCGCATTTTATTATATTGAGTGTGATATTTTCATTTAATTATAATAAATTAAGATAGTTTTTTATACCACATGCATGCCTTTCTTAACATAAGTCAAAAATTAAATGTCTACTCTTCTAATGGGATCATCAAATTGGTCGACGTTTAATGTGACCAAATCATCTAAGATGACTCTCTCTAATCTTGTCTGCCACTGGAGTTCCACCAATCCTTTCACGAAAAGATTCGTTTCGTCATATTATAACACATTATGAAAGCATTTTATATCTAATTTTAATTAACTAAACTAAACATTGCATATCCAACTTTAATCAACCAAAAATTAACATGAAATAGTCCAATTGTCATTTAAAAGAAAATATCGAACAAATGTAGCTTCAAAATAAAATTTATATGCATAAGAAATTTTATCATTTCTCGCTCTCCCCCTCTCAAGCAAGCATGCGTGCGTGCGCGCACATACATTTGCACTCCTCACTCATTTACCCCTCTAGCAATCTCTCCCTCCTCATCTTCTACCATTGTTTATTCTCCCTCCTCATCTTCTACCATTGTTTATTGTCAACTCTTCTGCTGTAGCTGCTACTTCCATTCTCAAATACATCTCATTCTTGAATGCATAAAATCCCCGATCATTATTGTTACTTGTTGCCTCACTATTTCTTGAATCTGATCTCTTGTATGAATCTTGTCTCACAATTCTCTTGATCATTATAACATTTCTAAAAAATGGTGTAGCAACAACAATCCCCTTATAATAAATTCATTTTTCACACCAGTCCCTAAGGCTTGCTTTAACCCATATAATGCTTTCTCATACTTGAATGCATGATTCGGATATATGGAACCTTAAAATAAGATGGTTGACATCCGCTTCAGTAACTTCATTCAAGAAAACACTTCACATCTCTTTCACATAATCTGAACCGGTTTGAAAGGCATAACACATATTATAGTTTTAGGGCCCGTTTGGTTGCAGCTTATTTGGTGCGGTGTGTTCCTGTTTAGGTAAACTACGCTTTGGCAGCTTATGTGTTTTCAAAACGTTGAAAACAGCGCGTTCACACCACTCCTAGTTAGGTGCGATAATAATTTTTAAGCTACGGTTTGGCTTTTTCATAAAAAATAAAAATCATATTATTTTTAATCAGCTTATCAGCAAATTATTCAATAAGCTGCAGCTGCCCCAAACAAACACTTAATGGTACATTGAAAAATAAGTTACAGAAGGAACATGCCTCACTTTTGATTAATCAAGATATATTCTTATATTACAAGTTCCTTCAAAAAAAAAATATTTTGTTAATCACTAATGTAAGATTTCTTATCACAAGTAATGATTAGATCACCATCATAAAAATCCTAAAACATAAGATAACAAGAAATATGAGCAAAAGTGTAGCAAGTAAAAAGGATGTAAAGTAGAAAAAAATTGAAGGATGTAAACTGGTCTATAGTGTACAGCGCTAGGGGTGTAAATGAGTCAAGCTTGAGCATGACTGGACTAGGCTTGTGTTCGGTTCGTTAAAAATTAATGTCATTTTTTGTGTTCGGCTCATTAATAAATCAAGCTAAAAAAAAAATTGACCGATTTGTTTATTTAGCGAGTCGGTCATGAACTCTTCGCGAACAACGAGCCTTTGTAACATCCAAAGTCCTAGTAGGGACAAGATTTAAATCTTCTTTTTTATATTAAAACATTCATTTAAATATAATTTAATTTATATTTTATTCTATTTTTTAATTAATAATTTAAATTGATTATAAATATGTGTAGCTTTGTAGTCAATTAAATTATTTAAAAATAATACTCAACAATCATATATACATATATATATAGAGAGAGAGAGAGAGAGAGATAGAGAGAGAGAGAGATAAGTATTTCCTGACTTATAAGTAAAATTTTAATTTAGGCGTTAGAGATGTAAATTAAAATGAATTAAGTGGTGTATATCAACTGAATTTAAAGTTTTGGTGTTAGAAATGTAAATATAAAATAATTAAGTGGTATGTATGTAATTTTTTTTTTAAATAAACTTCTTTTGTTTTAATTTTCATTTTTTATTTTTTCTATCATTTTTTTAATATGTTGACTTTGTTTGCTTCGCCCTACCTTTGAAACAGTGTTTGCATAACATAGAAATTGATAAAATTCAGTTTGTGTGGCAAAGAAAACAAGAAAATAGAAGCTATTTAAAATAAAAAAAAATTATAAATTAGTGGCGGTTTAAACCTCCTCTAGAAATAACACTGTTGTGCTAAATTAATAGTGGTTTAAATAGCTGTAGTAGCAGTCCTTCTGACGGTTAAACGGCTGGCTTTTTGGCCTGCAAAATGTATTTGTGGTGGAAATCATTGCCGGCGGTTTATGTGGCGGTTCTGAATTTTTGCAAAATCTTTTATGGCGGATTAAACCACTGCGGTAGGCCTCTTGATTCGCCGCTAAAAACTTTGTTTATTGTATTGATATATATCAAATCTCGGATCATGTTCGGCTTATTTATATATCCAGCGCAAAAAAAAGTTGTTCGTGCTTATCTCATTTGATTATCGAACTAGTTGAAGACTTAATAAACCGAACACAAGTTGTTCACGAAGAACTAAATGTTTTGACACCCCTATACAACGCAATGGCCTACTACCATTCCTAAAGTTGAGATTCACTAAATCTGCACCAAACCTCTAGATATTAGTGATAGAGAAATTCAAGAACAATTCCCAACTTTACTAGGGCTTCGGATCAATTAGAAACTGAACAACACTGTAGAATAACGAGATCACACCAATTCAAGAAAACTGGAACAAAATTTAGGTAGAAAGCACAATCAATGCAACCAGAAAAACATACGAGAATTTAAGTGGAAGAACCCGAGAAGTGGAAAAAACCACAGAGCCACACTAC